GGGGGTGCGTGGGGCAGTCCATAGAGGAGGGATCGTGGGGCAGTCCATAGAGGAGGGTCCGCGGGGGTGCGTGGGGCAGTCCATAGAGGAGGGATCGTGGGGCAGTCCATAGAGGAGGGTCCGCGGGGGTGCGTGGGGCAGTCCATAGAGGAGGGATCGTGGGGCAGTCCATAGAGGAGGGTCCGCGGGGGTGCGTGGGGCAGTCCATAGAGGAGGGATCGTGGGGCAGTCCATAGAGGAGGGTCCGCGGGGGTGCGTGGGGCAGTCCATAGAGGAGGGATCGTGGGGCAGTCCATAGAGGAGGGTCCGCGGGGGTGCGTGGGGCAGTCCATAGAGGAGGGATCGTGGGGCAGTCCATAGAGGAGGGTCCGCGGGGGTGCGTGGGGCAGTCCATAGAGGAGGGATCGTGGGGCAGTCCATAGAGGAGGGTCCGTGGGGGTGCATGGGGCAGTCCATAGAGGAGGGTCCGTGGGGGTGCATGGGGCAGTCCATAGAGGAGGGTCCGTGGGGGTGCATGGGGCAGTCCATAGAGGAGGGTCCGTGGGGGTGCATGGGGCAGTCCATAGAGGAGGGTCCGTGGGGGTGCATGGGGCAGTCCATAGAGGAGGGTCCGTGGGGGTGCATGGGGCAGTCCATAGAGGAGGGTCCGTGGGGGTGCATGGGGCAGTCCATAGAGGAGGGTCCGTGGGGCAGTCCATAGAGGAGGGTCCGTGGGGCAGTCCATAGAGGAGGGTCCGTGGGGCAGTCCATAGAGGAGGGTCCGTGGGGGTGCATGGGGCAGTCCATAGAGGAGGGTCCGTGGGGCAGTCCATAGAGGAGGGTCCGTGGGGCAGTCCATAGAGGAGGGTCCGTGGGGCAGTCCATAGAGGAGGGTCCGTGGGGGTGCATGGGGCAGTCCATAGAGGAGGGTCCGTGGGGCAGTCCATAGAGGAGGGTCCGTGGGGCAGTCCATAGAGGAGGGTCCGTGGGGCAGTCCATAGAGGAGGGTCCGTGGGGGTGCATGGGGCAGTCCATAGAGGAGGGTCCGTGGGGCAGTCCATAGAGGAGGGTCCGTGGGGCAGTCCATAGAGGAGGGTCCGTGGGGCAGTCCATAGAGGAGGGTCCGTGGGGGTGCATGGGGCAGTCCATAGAGGAGGGTCCGTGGGGCAGTCCATAGAGGAGGGTCCGTGGGGCAGTCCATAGAGGAGGGTCCGTGGGGCAGTCCATAGAGGAGGGTCCGTGGGGGTGCATGGGGCAGTCCATAGAGGAGGGTCCGTGGGGCAGTCCATAGAGGAGGGTCCGTGGGGCAGTCCATAGAGGAGGGTCCGTGGGGCAGTCCATAGAGGAGGGTCCGTGGGGGTGCATGGGGCAGTCCATAGAGGAGGGTCCGTGGGGCAGTCCATAGAGGAGGGTCCGTGGGGCAGTCCATAGAGGAGGGTCCGTGGGGCAGTCCATAGAGGAGGGTCCGTGGGGGTGCATGGGGCAGTCCATAGAGGAGGGTCCGTGGGGCAGTCCATAGAGGAGGGTCCGTGGGGCAGTCCATAGAGGAGGGTCCGTGGGGCAGTCCATAGAGGAGGGTCCGTGGGGGTGCATGGGGCAGTCCATAGAGGAGGGTCCGTGGGGCAGTCCATAGAGGAGGGTCCGTGGGGCAGTCCATAGAGGAGGGTCCGTGGGGCAGTCCATAGAGGAGGGTCCGTGGGGGTGCATGGGGCAGTCCATAGAGGAGGGTCCGTGGGGCAGTCCATAGAGGAGGGTCCGTGGGGCAGTCCATAGAGGAGGGTCCGTGGGGCAGTCCATAGAGGAGGGTCCGTGGGGGTGCATGGGGCAGTCCATAGAGGAGGGTCCGTGGGGCAGTCCATAGAGGAGGGTCCGTGGGGCAGTCCATAGAGGAGGGTCCGTGGGGCAGTCCATAGAGGAGGGTCCGTGGGGGTGCATGGGGCAGTCCATAGAGGAGGGTCCGTGGGGCAGTCCATAGAGGAGGGTCCGTGGGGCAGTCCATAGAGGAGGGTCCGTGGGGCAGTCCATAGAGGAGGGTCCGTGGGGGTGCATGGGGCAGTCCATAGAGGAGGGTCCGTGGGGCAGTCCATAGAGGAGGGTCCGTGGGGCAGTCCATAGAGGAGGGTCCGTGGGGCAGTCCATAGAGGAGGGTCCGTGGGGGTGCATGGGGCAGTCCATAGAGGAGGGTCCGTGGGGCAGTCCATAGAGGAGGGTCCGTGGGGCAGTCCATAGAGGAGGGTCCGTGGGGCAGTCCATAGAGGAGGGTCCGTGGGGGTGCATGGGGCAGTCCATAGAGGAGGGTCCGTGGGGCAGTCCATAGAGGAGGGTCCGTGGGGCAGTCCATAGAGGAGGGTCCGTGGGGCAGTCCATAGAGGAGGGTCCGTGGGGGTGCATGGGGCAGTCCATAGAGGAGGGTCCGTGGGGCAGTCCATAGAGGAGGGTCCGTGGGGCAGTCCATAGAGGAGGGTCCGTGGGGCAGTCCATAGAGGAGGGTCCGTGGGGGTGCATGGGGCAGTCCATAGAGGAGGGTCCGTGGGGCAGTCCATAGAGGAGGGTCCGTGGGGCAGTCCATAGAGGAGGGTCCGTGGGGCAGTCCATAGAGGAGGGTCCGTGGGGGTGCATGGGGCAGTCCATAGAGGAGGGTCCGTGGGGCAGTCCATAGAGGAGGGTCCGTGGGGCAGTCCATAGAGGAGGGTCCGTGGGGCAGTCCATAGAGGAGGGTCCGTGGGGGTGCATGGGGCAGTCCATAGAGGAGGGTCCGTGGGGCAGTCCATAGAGGAGGGTCCGTGGGGCAGTCCATAGAGGAGGGTCCGTGGGGCAGTCCATAGAGGAGGGTCCGTGGGGGTGCATGGGGCAGTCCATAGAGGAGGGTCCGTGGGGCAGTCCATAGAGGAGGGTCCGTGGGGCAGTCCATAGAGGAGGGTCCGTGGGGCAGTCCATAGAGGAGGGTCCGTGGGGGTGCATGGGGCAGTCCATAGAGGAGGGTCCGTGGGGCAGTCCATAGAGGAGGGTCCGTGGGGCAGTCCATAGAGGAGGGTCCGTGGGGCAGTCCATAGAGGAGGGTCCGTGGGGGTGCATGGGGCAGTCCATAGAGGAGGGTCCGTGGGGCAGTCCATAGAGGAGGGTCCGTGGGGCAGTCCATAGAGGAGGGTCCGTGGGGCAGTCCATAGAGGAGGGTCCGTGGGGGTGCATGGGGCAGTCCATAGAGGAGGGTCCGTGGGGCAGTCCATAGAGGAGGGTCCGTGGGGCAGTCCATAGAGGAGGGTCCGTGGGGCAGTCCATAGAGGAGGGTCCGTGGGGGTGCATGGGGCAGTCCATAGAGGAGGGTCCGTGGGGCAGTCCATAGAGGAGGGTCCGTGGGGCAGTCCATAGAGGAGGGTCCGTGGGGCAGTCCATAGAGGAGGGTCCGTGGGGGTGCATGGGGCAGTCCATAGAGGAGGGTCCGTGGGGCAGTCCATAGAGGAGGGTCCGTGGGGCAGTCCATAGAGGAGGGTCCGTGGGGCAGTCCATAGAGGAGGGTCCGTGGGGGTGCATGGGGCAGTCCATAGAGGAGGGTCCGTGGGGCAGTCCATAGAGGAGGGTCCGTGGGGCAGTCCATAGAGGAGGGTCCGTGGGGCAGTCCATAGAGGAGGGTCCGTGGGGGTGCATGGGGCAGTCCATAGAGGAGGGTCCGTGGGGCAGTCCATAGAGGAGGGTCCGTGGGGCAGTCCATAGAGGAGGGTCCGTGGGGCAGTCCATAGAGGAGGGTCCGTGGGGGTGCATGGGGCAGTCCATAGAGGAGGGTCCGTGGGGCAGTCCATAGAGGAGGGTCCGTGGGGCAGTCCATAGAGGAGGGTCCGTGGGGCAGTCCATAGAGGAGGGTCCGTGGGGGTGCATGGGGCAGTCCATAGAGGAGGGTCCGTGGGGCAGTCCATAGAGGAGGGTCCGTGGGGCAGTCCATAGAGGAGGGTCCGTGGGGCAGTCCATAGAGGAGGGTCCGTGGGGGTGCATGGGGCAGTCCATAGAGGAGGGTCCGTGGGGCAGTCCATAGAGGAGGGTCCGTGGGGCAGTCCATAGAGGAGGGTCCGTGGGGCAGTCCATAGAGGAGGGTCCGTGGGGGTGCATGGGGCAGTCCATAGAGGAGGGTCCGTGGGGCAGTCCATAGAGGAGGGTCCGTGGGGCAGTCCATAGAGGAGGGTCCGTGGGGCAGTCCATAGAGGAGGGTCCGTGGGGGTGCATGGGGCAGTCCATAGAGGAGGGTCCGTGGGGCAGTCCATAGAGGAGGGTCCGTGGGGCAGTCCATAGAGGAGGGTCCGTGGGGCAGTCCATAGAGGAGGGTCCGTGGGGGTGCATGGGGCAGTCCATAGAGGAGGGTCCGTGGGGCAGTCCATAGAGGAGGGTCCGTGGGGCAGTCCATAGAGGAGGGTCCGTGGGGCAGTCCATAGAGGAGGGTCCGTGGGGGTGCATGGGGCAGTCCATAGAGGAGGGTCCGTGGGGCAGTCCATAGAGGAGGGTCCGTGGGGCAGTCCATAGAGGAGGGTCCGTGGGGCAGTCCATAGAGGAGGGTCCGTGGGGGTGCATGGGGCAGTCCATAGAGGAGGGTCCGTGGGGCAGTCCATAGAGGAGGGTCCGTGGGGCAGTCCATAGAGGAGGGTCCGTGGGGCAGTCCATAGAGGAGGGTCCGTGGGGGTGCATGGGGCAGTCCATAGAGGAGGGTCCGTGGGGCAGTCCATAGAGGAGGGTCCGTGGGGCAGTCCATAGAGGAGGGTCCGTGGGGCAGTCCATAGAGGAGGGTCCGTGGGGGTGCATGGGGCAGTCCATAGAGGAGGGTCCGTGGGGCAGTCCATAGAGGAGGGTCCGTGGGGCAGTCCATAGAGGAGGGTCCGTGGGGCAGTCCATAGAGGAGGGTCCGTGGGGGTGCATGGGGCAGTCCATAGAGGAGGGTCCGTGGGGCAGTCCATAGAGGAGGGTCCGTGGGGCAGTCCATAGAGGAGGGTCCGTGGGGCAGTCCATAGGCAAGCATGGGGGGGGGCGCTGGGTCGGTTCGGTCAGTGTTCCTGGAGTGGGGCAGCACTTCTAAATTGCTGACGGGTGGGGCACTGGTTCTGTCTGTGTCCCTGGGGGTGATGAGTTGGTTCCCTCTGCGTTGCTAGGGCTAAGGGGATTGCTGCTTGTCCTTGTGAGTAGGGTCGGTTGTGCCTGGCCTAGCTGGGCTGGGGGAGTTTGCTTTGCAGTCGGTCCCTTAGCCATTGGGATGGCTTCTGGGTCTTGCAGGGTGACCAGCATGTACAGGGAGTGACCCTTACTCTGGGGTTAGCTTGGAAGCCAGGTGCACAGCTCTGCCACCTGTGTGAGTTTATTGGGAACTCTGAGGGGTTCAGGGGTTTGTGTGACAGCTCTTCTTCTCCTTAGGTGAGCCCTCTGGCGAGGGAAAGGCCCCTCTGCTTCTGGGCCAGGGAAACATGTCCCGTCGGAAACAGACCACTCCTAATAAAGTTCACTGTGAGTATTTTGCTATGACAGTGTGGGGCGCAGGTGCACCCCCTGGAGTCAGTGGGGTGGGATGGTAATTGCGCTGTGGAGTGAGGGTGTGGGCCATGCTCTGGCATGACATGGGAAGGCTACATGGACAGGCACCTAGGAGTAGATGTGTTTGTGCTGGAGGCTCCAGCCACACTTGGTTGTCTCATTGTTCCAGATGGAAGTGTCCGGGGAAACGTGGCGATTGGCTTTTGGGCATGGTTGGTGTGTTGGGCTGTGTGCTCTGAGCTGGGCTGGGTGCCAGAACCTTCTCAGCCTGATCCTTGCTTTGCTACAAAGTCCCTGGCTGGGTCACTCCGACCAGGTCTGCCCAACATACCTATATGGGTATAACTGCGTCACTCAGAGGTGTGAAAATCTACCCCCGGCCATGCAGTTACACCGACTAACCTCTCCTGGGAGAACTTTCCCTGCCCCGTAGCTACCGCCGCTCAGGGTGGTGGGTTAACGAGGCCAGTGAGAGAAGCTCCCTGGTCGGTGGAGAAGCGCCTTTGCTAAGCGGTACAGCAGTTCCACTGTGGTATGTGAAGACAAGGCTTTTGTCTCACTGCCTGTTTCCCTGACCAGATAAATTCTGCATCACTTACATCTCGTTAGCTGAGATGCCAGTCCTGTGTTTCTTGAGCGCTGTCAGGCACCCAGAATCTGGTTACCTTCGCAGCAGCTGCAGTCAGTGTGTGTCAGCGCTGACTGTAGGCAGATGTGCAGTGAGACCTCAGTGGAGCTAGGAGACTGCCATGCAAACTTTCAGTGTCCGAAGAGGCATCACACAACTCCAGTTTTGTTTCTGCGTGTGGGGGTGCATGCATGCCTGCTGACTCGTTCCTCCATGAGAACTGGGAAGGCGGGTGGGACTGGAGTCCCTGCTCAGAATGGCGTGACTGGTAGGAGCGCAGGACTGAACAGAATGCTGCAGCTGGAACAGCTCTGCCAACCCCCCTTGAGTGATGCTATCCCCTTGCATGCCTTTGTGTGTTTCTCTCTGCTGTCCTTGTGTAGGGATGAGATGATAGAAATTGTGCTGCTCTCTGCACTGCCAGCAGGTGTGTTTGAAGACCTGAGTGTCATTTGGAAACACCAAGAACCCGAGAAGCTTCCCTGGTGGCATTTCCAGGGTGCTAGTGGTGACTTTTAGCAGGTGCCTATGCCTCTGGCTGGAGACTGGGCACAACCTAGCTGTGATTTGTCGCCTAGTGCATTAATCCTTGGGCCTAGTTATCACGAGAAGTTTGGGATGCTAGCCACTGTGTGGTTGCTCCTTGCATGCCTGGAACACGCCTCCTCTCCCTACACACAGTCCACAGGCATTATAGCTATTACCTGGGTTAGATTTGCTTTGAGCACATGCCAAGGGAGATAGGTAGATGAGATGCATTATGTAATGGTCCTACAGTACACACAGGCTTCCCCATCCAGTCCCACAGTGCTTAGTTGGCCTCTCTGGTCTATTTTGATGCACTCCGCTGCAAAGGGGTGAAGTTATTCAGAAGCTAGTAATTTGTATGTATACCACTGCACACGCTGGCACTACTGCGTGCACACATGTTGTGCACTATTTTCACAGTGATCAAGATCTTCTATTTCTGCAACATCGTATCACCAGCATGTCTCAGAGGAGACCAGCCTATGAATATGCTGCCAGGTGGCGTGAAGTGAACACACAGGCTCTGGTATCCACCTAAGGATACCACTTGGATTTCATGCACGATACAATACTGTATGAACAGGTAGCTGAGCAGCTCTTTGGTGTAGGCAAGTGGTGCTACAAGCAGAAAAAGGGACTGAAAATCCTATACAAAGTGGCTCAGGACAATAATCATCTCTTCAGCTCAGGATGAAAACCTGACCCCTTTTATAATGAGCGGCACCGAACTTTTGGGACTTGCCCATCTACCCAGCCTCTGGACCGTCTGGGGAGCCTGGGAGTGCCATGCAGAGCATTTCTGATGGAGCAGGAGTACACGGGCAGAGCATCCGCTCCAGGAACTGGCTGTGTGAGGTGTCAGTCAGAAAGGGAGACTTCAGGCGTATTACTGGGATCTCCTCTGGGGATGGAGGAGGCATTAGGACCACAGGTATGCAGCTTTTATCGTACAGTCTACCACTGGGGCTGATTTTGCAGGTGCTGGGAGGGCGCGGGAGGGAAACTGGAGTGGAATGTTTTGTAACGTTATGAATGTTAATGGTTAGAAATGGGCAGATTCAGCTTCACAAGAGGGCAGAAGTGTTCCCCACTGGTCCCTATTCTCTCCTCACTCAGCTGCACTGGGACATGTGGCAGCTGCAGTCCCTCCCTTGCCTGCCCAGTTCAGTCCCCCATTATTCCCCTAGTGTGGCACCCCACCCCCATTAACCCTGGTTTGTTCTTCCCAGTTAGCACAGAAATACTCAATTTCCTGGCTGCACTCAAATGGGGAATAGCAGGGAAAACTTCAGAAGAACACCGAAACCACAATAAAAGTGAGACCATTGTTTCAAGAAGGCATGTATCAAGTACTATGGTCATTGTACGGCTGCCCCATCTGCAGGACTACGGCAGCCCATTCAATACTTGTTTCTTACATCATTCTGTGCTGCCATTTAATGCGTGAAAAACAAACCTATCTTGCAGAGTGATGCAAAAACGATCCAGGTCATGATAGTAGGGTACTGCAGGTACACTGCCTGTTCCTTGCTGAGTTGGGCTATGCAGTGCAGTTCTTTTAATCCAGTGGAGATACCACACTGGTTCAATTTCCAGTGAATTAAAGGCTATCTTTCGGATTTAGATCTCCTGTCCGTCATCCCACCTTGAGTTAAGCTATGTGGTAGGCGTAGCTCCTCCTTGTGTCCCCCTTTCTCATCCACACCAACAACTCTGCTCCTGCTGCTGGCATCTATTGCTTTTCTCTGTGCCCAGGAGCCTTTGTAAACTGATGTTTTTGAGGTTCTGCAGTAAGTAACCTTTGCTAGCTGAATTCCAGTGAACACTTCCTGGCCCTGTTTTCTGTGTCTCCTCCTCATATCAATCCCCCCTCTCTGCCCACCCATATTTTTATAAGTGATGTGTGAATTCTGCTGTGTCTTTAACATTTCTTAGTGGAGGAGAAAGCACATTGCAGAAAGGGATTCTGAACCCAACATCAACTGTTACTTGTATCAAATCGCTTGATACTATTGGGGCTAGATGAGCTTCTGCTGTGATTATTACCGTCCCTTTCTTTCTTTCATTTCAGTGTTCTTACAGCTTTGTGGACCTGCCAGAACAGGGATGTGCAGGTGCGTTAGCTCCCTAGTGAGACAGTGTCCGGTCCGGGAAAAGGAAGTATGGAGAAGACCTGTGTGAACAAGGACGCTGGTTCCTCACTGAACTTGTCCAAGTGTTGAACAGGCTCATCTCAGAACTTCTGCAGGCTGAGAAGAACAGGGACGTATGCACAGCTATTTTTAGAACATGAGCGATGTGAATGGAGGAGGCAGAGTTCCAGTGGGGAAGGGTTCAGGAAAAACTGCCTGCCATGTTTTCACCATCTGGCCTTAGCAGCCATTCCTTGCCTTGCTGTCCATCAGCACAGGGCTGCCATTCTCCAGCAGCCCGTTCCTCACAAGAGAGTGGAAAGGAGAACCGGAGCCCCGCGAGAGGCACTGCCAGGAACGGTGGCGTGCTCTCTCGAGCCAGTGGTGGTGTAACTCTGGTGCCTTGCTTCGGTATTGCAGCAGACCTGCAGCATTGTTTGTATTTAATAAAGAAAGTTGTGGGAAAGGGTCTCTGGTTTGGGTATGGAGCATGCTGTCCTTTATTCCCCAAGCTACTCCTTGGACTCCTTTACAAAAGGATGCAACAGCACCAACAGAGGAGCTATACGAACGCACGCAGACGGTGAGAGGAAACAACCTTGTTTGGAGCATCTGGTCCAGCTGTACCCCAACGATGCACTTCTCCACCAGTCCCCTTAGAGGCTAGGTCAGTCTATTGCTCCAGATTATAGGACTAGGAACCCTACTTATTTGACTCCTTTAGTGATCTCTGGTACGTTCTCTGCCTTGCTGCACACTGCAGACATACAAGTCCAGAATGGCTCCCTGCTCACTAGCAATAATCCAGGAAGGCACTCTGCCACAGGGGAATGTGGATTTTATGCTCATAATCGGTTGGAACCAGCTCCCTACAAATGCTGAAATTCTGCGTTCTTTGCTGCTTGCCTCAGGCCTCTCATGCCTGAGTTCTGCCTTTCTGAGGCTGTAAGTGGGACCCAAAAGGCCAGACGCAGCACTCTACCCCACGGAAATCATTCTCCAGAGCTATATGGAATCCTCTAATGAGCGAGGGAGTGTGACAAAACTGCTGCTTTCAGACACAGGCCTCGCCACAGTATCCTTTGCTACCTTGCTCCGCGCACCTAATATTTGCTCTCCAAAAGCTTCAGATTCCTTCTTTGCTGAGCATGCGGCCTCAGCTCCATCTCTGACAAGAGAATGTGGAAATGATGGGGCAAGCAGAGGCTTTCAGGAATTTACTAGGGGCTCTGGCAATTTGACCTCCTTTCCCGTATTTCCCCTGAAATTTCTGATGCTTTCCTGGACTCACAAGTCATCAGGCATGCCAAGATTTGAGGGAGAGGTAGTGAGAAGTAGGGACGTTAAAAAGCAGAGGCGTTGGTAAACATGTAACTGCTGAAAAAATTCAGCGGCTCCATGTTTACATGCAGGGTGGCCAGGTTCCCCGTGAGCACCAGCTTCTGCGGAACTGCCTCTCCCCTTCCCCTGGTGCTGCTGCCTCTATCAGAGACAGCCACAGGGGTGGGGGGTTACGTGTAACTGAGAGTTAACTGATGATTGCCAGTTCGCTGTTACTGTTGAAACATGTACACTAACATCCCTAGTGAGAAGGCAGGGCAAGTGTGGATGTGGGGCAAAACTGTGAGTGAAACATCCCACCCAGTAGGGCCATGCTGTGTCCTCAGGACTGCTGCTGGTGGCTATTCCATCTCTTCCAAAAACATTGTCTAGCTACGGAGGCACCTAGTGTAAAGCAGGTTTTGCATGTAAATCAAGGGGTTCATTTCCTGGTTGTGTTCAGTGCATCTTCTCCCAAATAAGAGTTTACTCAGAGAGGTTACTGAATTTCCTGAGAATTTACACACAAAGCCAATAGCTAGTTTGAGTTGAAATGGATTTAATAATTAGTCCTGTGAGAAATCTAACCCCCTGTGTCCGGCTTTTGTTCATCCCACAGAATCTCAGCGCACAGTCTGCACTAGATTGGCAGAGAGGTGGAGCATGGGCTGATGCAATGGGCCATGTTTGTGTGCAATTAATGTACGTGGTGCAAGGAGGGTGATGAATCAAAGAATTGCCCTGCATCAGCATGACTAAAGCTATAACATGACCTCAGAATGGCCTGTATGTTCCATTGTTCTTACTGAGGCTGTCCTTAGCATGGAGATCTTTTGCTGCCTAGGGCGTCACTATTTTTCTGGGGGACAGCTTGGCTTCACTTCCATTAGGAAGAGAGGATGGTAGTTACCATCAGGGCAGCCAGTGTCCTCAGTCTGATTGTGAACAGGTGGGGACTGTGTGAGAGTCTCTCAGCAGGAGCATTGTTGAGGGATGAAGAATAACAGTAAAGAATGACAATGCTAAAGATTTGTTTTCAAAAGCTACTTCTTGAATTAGATCCACTCAGCTGAGAGGCTCCGAGGGAAAATTGATGGAGACAGGCACACACGAGTTAGGGGGAGTATGTGCAGGAAACTGAATTGGGCGTGTGCGTGGGGAATTCAATGCACAGGAGGGAGAGGAGCACTCCAGCTGCGTCGAGCTGCTCTGACAATGAAAAGCATCTGGAAAATCAGCCTAAGTGGCCAGCAATGTTCCCTCTAGTGTTTTCCATCCATGTGCAGAATAAACTGTTATGTGCACCGAGGCGTGTGGGGATGTGCACTCCCGTAAACACACACAACTTTGCTGTGGGCACTCCGGCAACCAGCTGGGCAGCATTTGAGTTTTCCCTGAGCACCCGCCCAAGCGCACAGCTTCAAGGGAACAGTGCTGGCCAGTATGTGCTGGCTGCTTTGCACTGCTGCAAAGCGGCACGAAGCCACCGAGCACACCCGTAAATCTGGATTCATATGTTTATTAAAAACGAAACAACAAATTCAAATCATTAGAAATATCCCAGGGAGCGTTTCTGTTGGATTCGGAACATTTTAATAATTTAACAAGGAAATTCACAGACGAACGCTCGATTAACATGGAGTTAAGGCAGGGGTGGGCAAAAGGGCCTCCGTGGGCCGGACCTGGCCTGCCAAGCGAGTTGATCCGGCCTGCGGAGGCCCTCCCGCTCCCCTGCCCCCATGCCAATCAGGGCCTGGCTGGGGGGGAGGCACGCAAAGTGTCCTCTCGCCCTGCTCCTGTCCTCCAAGGAGTGTGTGGCACTTAGAAGCACCGCATGCTCCTGGCAGGGTGGGAGGAGACTTCGCACTCTCCCGCCCCCAAGCTCTGATTGGCCTGGGAGTGCGGGGGAGCGCACCAAGCCTCCTCCTGCCCTGCGAGGAGCGCGGCGCTTCTAAGCACTGCACGCTCCTTGCAGGACGGGGGCAGGGTGGGAGAGACTTCACGTGCTCCCTCTCCCCAGGCCCTGATTGACCTGCGGGCAGCAGGGGGGAGCACGTGACGTTTCCTCCCATAGCTAGGGGCACAGGTACCTAGAGGGAACCGTCAGCTGCTCTGAACAGCTGGCCGTGTTCTCTTGAGGGCGGGGGAGGGAAGCAACGACTTTGCAGCTCCCCCACCCTCAGACCAATCGGCCTGTGGGTGGGGAAGCTTGGAAGTGTCCTGGCCCCGCCCCTTCTGCCTGAGGCCCCACCCCTTCCGGGGAGGCCCAGGGCCACTTCAAAAATTTCTGAAGTGGCCCCAGTCAAAAATGATTGCCCACCCTGAGTTAAGGTCTCGTGTTGAGGTGCATGGCAGTGATGTAGCATAAAGTACATCTACAGGGGTGTTGTCATTCCTCAAGCAGTTGAGACTTTGTGTTAAACGTAAGAGAGAGCTAAATGTGTTGAGCTCTGGAAACGAACAAGTAAGATACCCCAGAAAATGTCCTGCGTCTTCAATAATCCATTCTTTTAACCCACTGGTTCTCAACCAGGGATACATACACCCCTGGGAGTACACAGAGGATTCATCAACTCCTCAGCTCACCTAGATATTTGCCTGGTTTTACAGCAGGTTACATAACGAGCACTAGCAAAGTCAGTACACACTCAAATGTCGTACCACGACTTGTTCACACTGCTCTGTATACTGTCATGGAAGTATAATATTTATATTCCAATCCATTCTCATCATTGCATGTTAAAAATGGGCAAGTCTGCATTTGGTCAGTAACAGTGTGCTGAGACACCTTTGTAGTTTTCTCTGGGTCTGTCTACACTATCACCCTAGTTCGAACTAGGGTGGTAATGTAGTCAACTGGAGTTGCAAATGAAGCCCGGGATTTGAATTTCCCGGGCTTCATTTGCATGTTGCCGGGCGCCGCCATTTTTAAATGTCCGCTAGTTCGGACTCCGTGCCCCGCAGCTACACGCGGCACGAACTAGGTAGTTCGGACTAGGCTTCCTATTCCGTGGAACGAGGAGTAACGGTAGTTCGGAATAGGAAGCCTAGTCCGAACTACCTAGTTCGCCGGGAAATTCAAATCCCGGGCTTCATTTGCAACTCCGGTTGACTACATTACCACCCTAGTTCGAACTAGGGTGGTAGTGTAGACAGACCCTCTCTGCTTTTGTAAGCAAGCAGTTTGGCGTACCCCCAAATTATACCTCACCTACAGACCAATCAGATTCCTGAAAGGGTACAGCAGGCTGGAAAGGTTGAGAGCCACTGATTTAATCTAATCTGTGATCTCAAGCACTACAAGGCACTATCAGCATGGTGTGGTCACCGCATGGGGCCTTTGTTTGGTTTTGTCCATACCTATGCACCTACCCCAAGACCTCACCGTGGCAGGAGTTTTTTTATATGTATCCCTAGCTCTGAATGTCTGAGTTTATAGCGCCAGGTTGGGGGCAGTTACCACATTAGTGTGCCATTTGTTACCTTACCCTTACATTACTGAGAGGCAATTGAATGGTTGTTGTCAGATAATCAGGATGAATAAAAAACCTTTTAAAAAACTAAAATCAGATTATTTTTGTGAGATTGTTCATTTAAATGGAGTTTTTATTGACCAACGATCTTGTTTGAATTATGACAACCCATACTAAGGCCTAAGCTGCTCTAACCTACTCAAATAATTGACATTAAAAACCAGTGAAGCAGCGTGTGTTAGCTGCTGCTAAGGAAAGTCAGCGCTGCACTGACAGGAGGCGCTAGCCAAGCATGCGGACAGAGTCTGTGGAAATGCTGCACTCGCTTTTGACAGGAGCAGCCTCCTCTGCGGGTGCAGAGAAAATATTTTCTTCATTTCAGTGTGTTCAGCTAGTTCAGTTCCGTGGCTGGTTCGCTCAGCGTTGAGAACTAGCTGGGAGTGGAAGGAGCAGGAGCGTTGGCTTTCTCAGTGCAATTGATGAGTAAAACGAAGGGTGCTTCTGAAATCTTGAAGGCCGGAGGCCCAGACCCTCCAGGCATCTAGGCCCCTAGCTCCCGTCAGTGCTGGGGCAGGGCAGGATTCACTAAGGGACAGAGAGGGCGTCCCACTCTGTCACGCTGCGCAGGGCCAGTGCTGCCGTCTGGAGAGCTGAGTGTGGGACAGGGGCCAGTCTATAGGGTGAGGAACCAGAGCCCCAGAATGCAGTGCACCGGGGGAGGGCTGCCCAGGGAAGCAAAGGAAGATGCACCAGGTGTGTGGTAAGCCCCCCTGTTGGCTAGAGAGCCCTGTCCCAGGCAGCGTAGGTGCTGAGGGGTTTCTTGCGGGACGAGGAATGCTCCTGTCTCGACCACATGGAATGGAGGCTGGTGGAGGAGAAATACTGAAAAGGGACTGGCCTGGGGGCTGCCAGCTCTCAGGCAGATGGGCACTGAATGAACCCCCCGCAGACTACCCAGAGCTCAGCAATGAGAGCGCTCCCTGGAGAGAGGCAGAGCCCTGTGCAAACCCATGCTCTTCTGCTGGTTCCTGGAGCGCCCTGGGGCTTGGGCATGAGAGAGATGCCAAGACGCCTAGTGGGAGGCAGCAGTGCACATGCCCAAAGGCAGAAACTTTGGTGGCAAGTCAGTTTTGGCACCGACAAAGTTTGACGGGAGTTTTGTGGGTGGCAGTGAAGCCAAACCTGGCCCTTGGGTACCTCCCGCTAAGCCTGCATGTGCCCCCTGAGGACAGTGCACTAACTGCCACCTACGTGGCCTGGCCAAGGTCCAGTGGAGATGCAAAACAGAGTTTGAGAAACTCCTTTTTCCCAGTGTACCCAGCAATTTCAGGTGATTCTGTTTAGCTAATGAAGACCAAGCTCCCGAGGCCAGAAGGGATCCCGGTGCTCAAGCCGTGTTGCTGCCAGGGAAACAGGCCTGGCATTTTTCTAAAATGGTTCCCCGGGCACCAAGCCTCTGTTAGGAAAATGCCCCAGCATTGCGCTTGTGCGTTTCTAATCGGAGTGCAGCTTGGCACAGCTCCCCAGGAAGCAAGTCACCCGCGAAGCTCCGCACTGCCTCTCGCTAACAGTCTAAAGCAGGGAACTGGGAAGAATCTGGCTAAGCTGCATAAATTGCTCACGCGTGTGTGTGTGGTGCATCCTGCTGCTCAGCTAGCGGGACGGTCCCGTCACTGCCAGTCAGTGTTGTAATGGTGAGCAGCCAATGAGCCCCACCTTTACAAAGCAGTACAGGTCCAACAGCAGTCCGTTCCCTCGGCCCCTGCTGGCAGCATGGACGTGGCGAAAGCAGGCTCTGCTGGTCATGGCGGGCTAGAAGAGGGTTCTGCCAGTTCAAGCTCAGCTAAGGGCCAGGCTGAGGATGGGCAGGGTGCGATGTGTGTGGTGAGCAGGGATGGCTGGGGTGAGGAATTTAGCTTCTAACAGCCCCATGCTAAGCAGAGCTGTCCGAAGGACGCGTGCCTGAGAGCGGCGTGTCGCTCCTGGGAGAACGTGCTAGAGAAACACAACACAGACTGGTTTGTCTTTGTGGTTTCCAGGGGAGCAAGTCTTTGCAGGGCTGGAGGAGCAAGCCCGCCAGGCCATGATGAAAAACGACTTTTCTGGAGCCTTCGGAGACCCGCGGCCAACAATTCACCAGCTGCAGGATCAGGACTCCAGCAGCAGTGAGTTCTGCACCTGCTGGTAATGGCTGGGGAATGGGCAGAGGAGTTCTGACTGCTTGGCTGGAGGGTGCAGGTGGTGACCCTTGGATGACACTGCTGGCTGGGTTAGGGGCTGGCTTGCAGCTGCTCTGTGGGGCCTTGAGGGACTGGGTTTGCTTTCCAGGCGACAGCGATGGTGAGGAGGAGGAGACCACGCAGGATGAAGTCTCTTCTCACACTTCAGAGGAGGATGGCACAGTGGTGACAGTGAAGAAGGAACTCGAAAATGCAGAGCAGCCTGTAGCAGGACACCAGCAGATTGGAGAGAGCGAGGCAAGCGGTTCTCTCCCTTGCAGCGTGCTTGGTGCCTCCCCGGGAAGGAGGTGTTGGGGAACCTCGTCAGGTTTGGCTGTTTTCCTTCTGAGGAGTGGTGTGCGGTGTCGTGCCTTCTCCAGACACGGGCCACGGCATGTAGGGTCAGGGGTCTGGAGAGCTTTTGGACTGCCAGGGGCAGCGCCTGTGGGTAGGAGCTAGAAGAGGTGGCCGAGGGAAGCTGAGCTCTGTCTGCTCAGCTGGGCCTCCACAAAGACATGGAATTGAACGGAGCCCTCTGCTGCCCCATCCCTACTCTCCTGTCCCTCTGACCTGCTCACATCCACCCTCCTTGGGGCTGTTGGTTGCTGCGCAGGCCCGTGCAGTGCAGCTGTAGCCGCGTCTGTCCCAGGCCCCCAGGGAGACAGGCTGGGCGAGGAGGTGACCTTGTCAACTAGGCCCAAGTGTTTTCTGCATCCAGCTTTTCTGCCTTGTCCCACCTGTTTGCCCAGCAGGGGCAGAGAGCAGGCCCTACCACACTCCATGCTGACCTAGGGCCTTGGCGGTGGGGAGCCTGCCTCCAAACCTCCTCTGTGCAGACAGGAGGAGAAAGCTGATCCCTGCAGTGCCCGACTCCAGAGAAGCTCTTCGCGGGGTTAGCTTCTCCCTGTTTGCACAGAGGGGCTGCCCCTGTAAGGCCCCCGGCCAGCGCGCAGCCAGGCAGGGCCGACTCCAGAGAAGCTCTTCGCGGGGTTAGCTTCTCCCTGTTTGCACAGAGGGGCTGCCACTGTAAGGCCCCAGGCCAGAGCGCAGCGAGGCAGGGTGTGCCGTCTGAGCTGTGCAGGAGGGGTTACAGAGTGTCTGGTGCAGTGCACGAGAGGGGGGTGGGCTGCAAAAAGGAAATCTCTCTTCCCAACTCTCCCTGAACTGGCTTCTCTCTGTCCTCAGGTGACTGAGAATCTGAATACAGCACTTATGCTGGGTCTGTCGCAGTGCCCGCTCTGCCAGCTGGAATGTGGGAGCCGAGAGCAGCTCATTGCTCACGTGTACCAGGTAGGAGGCATCTTCCTTGTGAACCTGCAGAACAGGGTAGAAAGAATGGCCGTGAGCCTCGGCACTGCAAGAGGGGCTGCAGGGTGACTCTTACTCTGATTTTGTCAGTAGCAAGGACACACATGGGAAGTTAGCGAGGGTGCCTGCAGACACCGCAAACCAGACTAGTGGGTGACAAACCAGCGGAGTGCGCGGGCACAGGAGCCTGCTGGGGTGACCTCAGCTGGTTTGAGCCCCAGCTTGGAATCTCCAGCTCCTTTCAGACCAGGCACAGAAACTGCTTTGCAGTGTTCAGTGGGGCAAGACCCGTCCTGTCAGCTGCTCTTGGACAGAGAGAGCTGCAGCTGTGCAGCAAGCCGGTCCTGCCCTCGGTGCCCGCCACCCCAGAGTAGTGTGTGTGCAGCAAGGAAGGAGACGCTTGCTCACCCAAACCAGCACCACCAAGGGCAGCCCCTTTGGGACAAGCCCCTTTCGCAGGCCTTTCTTGCCCTGCTCCGTTCCCAGGGGCCATGTGTAGCGAGGCCGGCGCGGAGGCCACGCTTTGGCAGGCACTTCCCTACATTAGCTTCCCCCAGAGGCGATGCTCCCTCAGCTGCAGGAGTAACGTCACAGGTGGACCTGGGCCCAGCCCTTCTGCTCTAACGGCCTCCCCATGGCCCGGTACGCAGGCTTCCCCTCCCCACCCCCGCTGCTGAGCCCTGCACGTCATTCGCGAGGGCCTGGGGCTCTGAGCCGAGCGGAGGAGCTGGACCTTTAACAGGCAGAAGAGGCTTTTGGCCGCTGCAAACCAGGCCTTCTTTTGCAGCACACTGCAGCGGTGGTCAGTGCCAAGAGCTACCTGTGCCCAGTGTGCGGCAGAGCACTCAGCTCCCCAGGGTCCCTGGGGCGACACCTCCTGATCCACTCAGAGGACCAGCTGTCAAACTGTGCAGTCTGTGGGGCGCGCTTCACCAGCCATGCCACGTTCAACAGGTGAGACTGGTTCCCAGCTGGGCGTGCGCGGCACGATGGACAGGGCCTTGGGAGACTGGAGAAAGCCACCCTGCACCTGGGGGACAGCTGGGCCATTCCACAAGGGAGCCTACTGCCAGCTGTCCCTCGCCCCAGGAGACCCAGGGCTGGGCAGAAGGCTAGCTCTCCCTGAGCATGCCCCCAGAGTCCCGGGCCACGAGGGTTCCCAGCTGCAGGAAAGCAGGGTTGTGTCCTTTATGCTTGACATTCCAGCGTCCCTGCTCTTCCCCTGCCCTGTGTCCTTCCTGGACGGATTTGGGCGGGCACTGAGTCTCCGGGCAGGGCAGGTGGCTCTGGGCTCAGGTGGATGAGCTGCTCAGTAGCAGAACTACAAGTGAGGCCTGAAAGCCAGAGGTGCCAGGGCTGGAGCATCTGCATGGCTAACTGGGTAATTCCTGAGTGCAGTCACGGCTGACATTCCCCACCCCGTCTGGGTCTGCTAACATCGCCGATGCACACCACCATGGTGGGCTGCTCATGGCTGGGCCAGGGCCTCTCTCCTCCGGGGGGCTCCTTGCAGGGAACCCGGTGCCAGCAGCGGCTCCTTGACTCTTTTTTTTCTGCATTTCAGTGAGAAACTGCCAGAGGTGCTTAGTGCGGATTCCCTGCCCCTCCCGCACAGCGAGGGCCCTTCTGGTGCTGAGGGGAAGGACGCTGCCTTTAACGCCCCTGTATACCCTGCGGGCATCCTGCTCGTGTGCAACAACTGTGCTGCCTATCGCAAGCTGCTGGAGGCGCAGGCTCCGGGGGTGCGCAAGTGGGCCCTTCGCCGGCAGAACGAGCCGCTGGAAGTGCGGCTTCAGCGCCTGGAGCGGGAGCGCACGGCCAAGAAGAGCCGGCGGGACAACGAGACGCCCGAGGAGCGGGAGGTGAGGCGCATGCGGGACCGAGAGGCCAAGCGCCTGCAGCGCATGCAGGAGACAGATGAGCAGCGGGCGAGGCGGCTGCAGAGGGACCGGGAGGCCATGAGGCTGAAACGTGCTAACGAGACCCCGGAGAAGCGGCAGGCTCGGCTCATCCGGGAGCGCGAGGCCAAGAGGCTCAAGCGGCGCCTGGAGAAAATGGACATGATGCTTCGGGCCCAGTTCGGCCAGGACCCCTCCGCCATGGCTGCCTTGGCAGCCGAGATGAACTTCTTCCAGCTGCCTGTGAGCAGTGTGGAGCTGGAAAGCCAGCTGCTGGGCAAGATGGCCTTTGAGGAGCAGAGCAACAGCACGCTGCATTGAGCTGCAGCCAAGCACCGCCACGGCCCCATCTGGCCCACTAGGCACCCGCAGCCGTGTCCCCACTCCTCCCACAACAGCCAGGTCTGGGGATGGAGCTGGGAGGCCTCTGCCCAGGCAGCTCTGGTGAGAGCGGGCTGGCAGGATACAGTCTGCTCAGCAACCAAGCAACCCACGAACAGAGGGAAATAAATTAATTTTATGTGTAATGAGTCACCGTTCGTGCCTGTTGCTTCCTCCTCTGCTTGGATCCTGGTGGTGGAGCTGGCTGCTGCGGTGCCTCTCTGCAGGTGAAGAGCCTCCCTCAGAGGGAGGGCAGCCTGGGTGTCCATTCCCACCCTGACTCCACCTGGGGAAGAGGGTCTCTGGGTTACAGCAGCACAAGCCGTGGGGTAGAGGATGTGGTTTGGCCCCGGCACAGGGCAAGTCGCTCAGTCTTGGGGTCTGTACAAGAGGGGGCCGTTGCCAGTAGTGCTGGTTCCAGGAGCCCTCAGAACATACTAGAAGAGACCGTTCCAGCCGCCAGGAACCCAGGCTAAGCAGACAGGTGGGGAAAGGGAACAATCAGCGGTAACCTGCCTTTCTTGGCAGCGTGGCAAGAGGAGTAGGGTTGCCAGCCTCGCGGAGTGTCCAGCACTCTGAGTCGGGCTCCACTGAAGCCCATCCAGAAGGTTTTGGCCACTGACAGTCGGTTGGAGCAGCGGGGCTAAGGCAGGCTCCCTGCCTACCCTGGCCCAGTACAACTCCTGGGAGCAACCGGCATGTCTGGCTTCTAGGCACAGGGCAGTCAGGGGGTCGCTGCGTGCTGCCCCTGTCCCAAGTGGCAACTCTGCAGCTCCCATTGCTTGGAAAGTGCAGCCAGTTGGAGCTGCGGGGACAGTTTCTGCCGGGAGGGGCAGCGTGCGGAGCTATTTGGCCACCCCTAAGCCTAGCAGCCAGAGGGACATGTCACTGCTTCCCTGTAGCCTCCTGGCCAGAACCTGCACGTCAGACCCCTTCCGTACCCCTCCCCCTGCCTGAGCCCTGAGCCCCTTCTCACACCCAAACTCCTCCTGCATCCCGACCTCTTCCCAAGCCCCCTCCTGCAGCCTGAGCCCCAGCGCCAGCCCAGAGCCTGCACCCTTAGCTGGAGCCCTCAATGCCCTGCACCAGGCTCAACCCACTCCGAACCCCTCTGCCCCAGCCCGGAGCCCACACTGCCATCCCTCTGCCCCAGCCTGGGGAAGGTGAGCGAAGGTGGGAGACAGAACGAGCAAGCGACAGGGAGGGGTGTGTGGCTTCAGAGAAGGGGAGGTCTAGGTTGGAGATTAGGAAAAACTATTTCCCTAGGGAGGGGGTGGAATCCAAGTCCCGGCTTGACAGATCCCTGGCTGGGATGATTGAGTTGGGATTGCTCCTGCTTTGGACAGGGGGCGGGACTCGATGATTTCTCTGATTCTAAGGGGTGTGGCTTCTGGGGAGGGGCGGGACAAAGGCACACCCTGTCTCTGAGGCGATGTTCTGTTGCGCAGACCAGGCGGGGGCCTAACCTGACCCTTGTGGTGGGCTGTGATGATGGACAGGGCCCCTCACCTCTGTACTGCATGGACAGGCCTGCGATGTGCTGTGTGCGCACACCACGGCCAGTCAGCAGCAGGGGAAAGGACCTGCTTCCAAACCCAGCGCACGTGACTTCACAGCACCAGCTCTGGGTTCTTTTCCTCCTCCATTCTGTAGTGGCCTGGTGCCATCGTTAATGGGAGTCATGTGTCGTCTTATGCAGATTAAAGTGTTCTACAGATTAGACAGGCACATTTTACAGACCATTCCTTCCGGTTCTTGCAAGCATGCTCATTGTGCAGATACTGCTGAGGGCAGCAAGTTGCTCTGTGCCCTTTTGGAAACTGAGACCGGGGCAGGGAATACCCAGATGAGAGTTAGCATAGAAAAAATACAGCTACGGGCTCTTCGGGGAAATAATTTGGCACACAGGTCTGCTCTGGGAAGAAGAAAACGAGGCACAGTGACACAGTAGAATTATTACGGCATTGAGGTGTGTCCTCAGGCTGGCAGATTGCGGGAGCTCTCTGTGGGGTGATGTCGAGGGGCTATGCTGAATGGTTCAGAATAAAGTGCCATCGACCGACAGTACCTGGGAGAAGGGAACTCTGATTTCAAACCAGGGCAGACAGAGCTTGCTAACCCTTTTTAGTTGGCAACTGTGATCTCAAAGCTACGCTGTCTCCCTACAGTGCACGCCACAGTTCCCGTGCCTGCGTACGACGGTCGCTATGAGGATTGGAACTCCCAAGCCAGACTCACTTAAATCCATTCACATGTAAAGGTTCAGCTCTTGATGCTGAGGATTTACCTGTTGTTAATGAAAATCCTATGGCGATGGGCAAGCGACAGATACAGGTGAAGGATACCACTCGAAGCATCTAGTCACAAACCTTCTTCAAGACGGCCTGGGTATGATGGTCGTCCGTCTGCTGAACTGGAACAATGGCAGTTTCCATATCCTGCCCAGGTGACAAAGCTGCCCTATTTAGAGACAGCGCCGTATTCTTTCAGAGAACGCGGTGCGGGAAGGAAGGGAGAGGGGACTATCCCTAAACACAGCTTGTTCCAGTTGATTCTTGTCTGTTAGCCACGACCAGCTGGATAGTCACTTTTGCGGTTGCAAGAGAAAATCAAGGAGTAAACAAACTCTGCTTTGCACTCTGGAATGTCCGCACACTTGCAGCGACGATCGCTGTGGACGCAGGACAGCAGTCGTGGGGAGAGAACTTGCATGCTAGAATATTGATGTCACAGCCTTAAGCGAATCACGCCTCTCTTCCCCAGCTTGAATGCCAGCCACATGCCATCAGTCCTTGCCTCACGACTACAAACTGTAGACTGAGGCAGGGACAGTGCCATAGCTACCCAGCGATTTGAATGCCAGAATTGGTCAGGATTGCACCAGATGGTCAAAGGTGCTTGGACATCATGTTATTGGAAACGAGAACTCAAGCGGCACCCTCCTTCTTCACACTTGTGCACAGCGTGAGCTTGCTATTGCAGGCACGTTCTTCCAACAGATACAAAGCAACTTGGATGCCCTTCAGTCTAAGCACTGGCATAGGGTTGACTATTCCATTAGAGAACAAAGAGATCTCTCTGATTTTAAGCTGACTCATGCAATGTGTGGCACTGGCTCCTGGTCTGACCATTTCATGGTACACAGTGTCATCTCCTTGAGCCTTGTCTGCGAAAACATCAGCGTTCTGCTGTATGCCGGGAAAAGCTGGGTGTAGGTAAACTTGAAATGCCTGAGACAAAAGCTTTGCTTCAGCTTAGCCTTAATGCTTCCTTAGTCATTGAAAATGAAGGTCCAGAGCAACCATCCACTATTGAGGAGGACCCAATTAACATCAGGGAAACAGCCTACAAGTCTGTTGTCGAAATACTGGGTTTCCAAAAACGCAAATGCAAGGACTGGTTCAATGACAAGGACAAAGATGCCCGAGCTCTTCTTGATAAGATGCATGTGTGCTCTGCTAAGGGCAGCACTCTGGTTACAGATAATGCTAACTATTTGAGCACTGGGCTGAGCATATTTGCAATGTATTAAACTAGACATCAATTTTTGACAGCAGTGTTCTTGAAGAGATTCCTCCGTGGGCTAATGAATCACAGCTGGTTATACTGCCAACCCTTGAGAAAGTACAAAACGCTGGAAAGGCACCTGGCTGTGATGCAATCTCATCAGAGATTCACAAAGTTGGTGGTGGCAGCTGATCCACCGTCTCACCCATTTATCACCAGTTGGGAGAAAGAGCAAGCCCCCCAGAACTTCACAAGTGCCCTGACTGTACACATTTACAAGAGAAATGGTGACCCTGCATGTTGTGATGACCACTGAGGCATCTCACCGCTGTCTATAGCTGGTAAGATCCTGGCCTGCATTCTCTCCAACCAGCTGTCATTGCAAATGTTCACAAGTGGCATCATTCCTGAAAGTCAGTATGGATTTCATGTTGGTTGAGGCACTGCCCACATGATATTCACAGACAGAAAGAGCCAAGAAAAATATAGAGAGCAATATCAGGATCTCGATGTGGTTTTCAGACATGGTCAACAGACATGGGCTTCAGAAGATACTTGGGTGAATTGGCTGTCCTAAAAAATGTATCAGTATAGTTGGGTCCTTTCATGATGGCATATTGAGTCGCATCCTTAACAGTGGAGAGACATCAGAACCTTTTGAAGCATCAAATGGTACTAAACACCCATGTATCCTTGCCCCTGTCCTGTTCATCACCTGCTTTTTGATGATGCTGTTAGTTGATTTCAAGGACCGTGCGCAGGGCACACCTATTCAGTTCTGAACTGATAGTAGCATTTTCAACCTCTGAAGACTGCAGGCTTGCACCAAAGTGTTCAGTCCAGCTATCCGTGACCTCCTGTTTGCTGATGACTGCATTGTTGGCTCATTCGGCTGAGATGCACAGGAGATCTTTGGTTGTTTTGCTACTTCTGCTTACAGTTTGAACTCACCACAAGCCTCAAGAGGACAGAGTTTATGCTCTGTCTGTTTGGAAAGAGCCCAGTGCTCTAGTGATCACTGCTGCTGATACTGTCCTTAAGGCCCTTGATAGCTTTCACTACCTTGGAAGTGTACTGACCTCCAGAGTAAACACTGATGACAGTGGATTTGCTTGACTAGCCAAAGCCAGAACTGCTTTGGAAGATTGACCAAACGCTAATGGAATGACAATGGTGTTAAACCTCATACAAAGGTAACAGTCGATCAGGCAGTTGTCCTAAATATCCTGCTGTATGGCTCAGAGTCATGGACCATATATCACCACCATGTTTTGAAGCTTGATCCAAATGTCCTGCCTCAGGAAGATTACCCATGTGAATTGGTGGGACAAAATTCCAGACCCAGAGGTCGTTCAGCTCTGTGCTGTCAGGGGCATGGAAGCAATGCTTATGAACAAACAGTTTTGTTGGATTGGCCATGTTATGAGGCTGGATGATACACGCATAACGGAGATGGTCTTCTGGGACCAGCTTGCTCATGGAAAGCGCTCCATTGGTGGTCAGTAGAAGCATTCTAAAGGTGTCTTCAAGTCCAATGTGAAGTCATGCGACATATCTCCTGGTGACCTGGAAATCATAGCTCAGGACAGATTGTTCTGGTGTCAAACTATTTGTACAGGTTCTCTAATGCTTTGAGAGTTAACATATTCAGAGATTACAAGAAAAGTGTAGGATCTGAAAAGAGTGTGCAACACCCAGAGATGGAGAATTTTTATGTGATAGCTGTAATTGGATTTGCGGATGGAGGATTGGTTTGTCTCTCACCAGCAGAGTGATAGAATCATAGAACACTAGAATGGGAAGGGACCTCGAGAGGTCATTGAGTCCAATCCCCTGCCCTCACGGCAAGGTCCAATACCGTCTAGATCATCCCTGATAGATGTCCATCTAACCTGCTCTTAAATATCTCCAGAGATGGAGATTCCACAACCTCCCTGGGCAATTTATTCCAGTGTTTAACCACCCTGAAAGGTAGGAAGTTTTTCCTAATGTCCAACCTAAACCTCCCTTGCTGCAGTTTAAGCCCATTGCTTCTTGTCCTATCCCCAGAGACCAAGGAAAACAATTTGTCTCCCTCCTCCTTGTAACACTCTTTTAGATACCTGAAAATCACTATCATGTGCCCTCTCAGTCTTCTCCTTTCCAAACTAAATAAGCCCAATTCTTTTAGTCTTCCTTCATAGGTCATGTTCTCTAGACCTTTCATTACTCTTGTTGCTCTTTTTTGGACCTTCTCCAATTTCTCCACATCTTTCTTGAAATGTGGTGCCCAGAACTGGACACAATACTCCAATTGAGGCCTAATCAGCGCAGAGTAAAGCAGAATAATGACTTCTCGTGTCTTGCTCACATCACTCCTGTTAATGCATCCCAGAATCATGTTTGATTTTTTTGCAACAGCCTCACACTATTGACTCGTATTAGCTTGTGGTCTACTGGATCTCTTTCAGCAGTACTCCTTCCTAGACAGTCGCTTCCCATTCTGTATGTGTGAAACTGATTACTCCACTTAGGAAGGAACACTTTGCATTTGTTCTTATTAAACTTTATCCTATTTACCTCAGACCATTTCTACAGTTTGTCCAGATCATTTTGAATTATGACCCTATCCTCCAAAGCAGTTGCAACCCCTCCCAACTTCATATAATCTGCAGACATAATAAGCGTGCTCTCTATGCCAACATCTAAATTGTTGATGAAGATACTGAACAGAACCGGTCCCAGAACAGACCCC